GAGGGCGTCGTGTCCCGCATCGATTCCATAGACCTGACCCCGCCCGCGGACACCTCGCTCGTCATCCAGATCGACGCGGCGATCAACCCGGGCAGCAGCGGAGGGCCCGTGCTCAACGCGGGCGGCCTCGTGGCCGGGGTGGCCTTCTGCAAGGACAGCCTCTCGGGGGCCAATGGGCCCAAGACATTCTCGGACGTGCTCGCGTCGTGCGACAGTCACAACGGAAGGTTTGCGGCCGCTTTCAGCCTCTGGGGACCCAATAGATGGACCCCCGGACCGTCAAAATAACGACTGAAGGTTTTTGGCCGTTTTCAGCCTCGAGGGACCCTGTAGCCGGGCCCTGGGACCGTCAGAAAATGATTCGGGATGTAAGATTTGCCTTGGGGAGTCGAGACTTCCCGTACAAAGACCGCTTTCTGCCGCTGCTGGCAGGGGGAGGGGTTCAACCTTGCCCGTCGGGAAATTGAGTGCGGGGTCTGGACCCCCTCCCCTCCCCTGGGAAGATTATTGTGGGGTCTAGAACCAGCTCCCCTCCCCATACGGGAACATTAGCTGGGGAGGGTCCAGACCCCCCCACCTCCCGGGATAATCATTGTGGGGGGGTCCCCACCCCTGGCATCGACCACGACGACGACGAAGACGACGACGACGGCGACGAAGACGAAGACGACGACCACGACCACGACGACCACGACGACGATCACGACGACGACGACGACGAGCAGAGTAGAGTAGAGTAGAGTGGAGTAGAGTAGAGTAGAGTACGTGTGTAATAGAGTATCATGAGAGTAGATTGAGGGTAGAGTAGAGTCGAGCGGAGTAGGGTGGCATAGGGTAGGGTAGAGTCGAGTTGGGGAGGGTAGAGTAGGGAGATGTAGGTCTGATTAGACTAGAGAAGGAGTGGAGTAGATAAGAGTACACGGATAGAGCAGAGCAGAAGTATAGTAGAGCAGAGTTGAGTTGAGTAGAGCAGGGTAGAAGTAGTAGAGTAGAGCGTAGTGTAGTGTAGAGTCGAGTCGAGTAGAGTATACTAGAGTAGAGTATACTAGAGTAGAGTAGAGTAGAGTAGAGTAGGAGTAGGAGTAGGAGTAGATAAGGAGTATAATAAAGCAGTGACGGAGTAGATAGAGTAGAGTAGAGTAGAGTGGAGTGGAGTGGAGTGGAGTGGAGTGGAGTGGAGTGGAGTGGAGTAGAGTAGAGTAGAGTAGGAACAGCTTCGAATATAGGATAGTATGTTGCTGTACGGTAGGTAGAGTAGGGTAGAGTAGGGTAGAGTAGGGTAGAGTCGAGTAGGGCAGAGTAGGGCAGAGTAGAGTAGAGTAGAGAAGGGTAGGGTAGAGTAGAGTAGGGTCGAGTGACCGTTTGGAGCATTTTGGCAAGCACAGCGCGCGCGCGGGGGGAAGAGAAGGAGAACGAGCAGAGCCAGCCACTGCTCCGCGCACCCAAACCCCTCCCTCCCCGAAGCACGCGGGTGGGGAGAGGGCCCCCGAACGGGCGGGGTCGGAGCAGCGGCGGCACCACCCGCACGAGCGACGCGACGTCCGAGGACGCAACGTCATCCGAAGCGCAGGCGTCGCGTCGAGACAGCTGTGCCGCTGAGGCCCCTGACCTGGGCCTCTTGGAGGCTGGCTGAAGCCCTCGACTGGCCAGCAGAAGACGGGAGCAAGCCCTTACAGATTCTGCTGAGGTTCTGCTGACCTTTGCCAGTGGGGGCAGCGCAGGGACCCGACGGCTGCCTGTCTGTGGAGGTGGCCGTACGCCAGCGATGCTGGCAACAGTCGAGACCGTGGAGGTCCCCAAACGCCAGCCCGTCGAGAAGAACAACCAGCATCGGGCAACTTCGGCGCTACGGCCAAGAGGTCACTGCGTGGAGGGCAACGCTGGATGTTCGTGCACCTCTGGTAGTTTCCCTCTGAACTAGTTCTCCGTACCGCAGGGTCAAATAAGCGTGAGCTGGGCTTGTTCGCCAAATTCAATTGCTTCGAAGTTGCATGGCACCCTTCAGTACAAGCTCGGCTTCTCACCCGCGGCGCGAATGTCTTCCTGGCGGCCTGGAGACACTTGCACAACAAGGGGAGGGCTTAATTTTGGAGCGGCCATTGTGCGTTATCTTTGCTCTGCGGAGTTTGCAGAAACCGCTCGACACAAGTTACGCCCGACACGAAAAAACGCCCGCCCGTAGAGTAGGGTAGAGTAGAGTAGAGTAGAGAAGGAGTAGAGTAAAGTAGAGTAAGGGCCAAGTGGCGTAGAGTAGAATATGTAAGGGTACCGTCGGGTAGAGCAGAGTAGAGTAGGGCAAACAGAGTCGAATAGAGAAGATTATATGGGTCGCGGAGTAGAGGTGAGCAGAGCTGAGTAGAGTAGAGTAGAGTAGAGTAGAGTAGAGTAGTAACCTAGAGCAGGATCGAGCAGAGCCCTAGTAGCATTTTATCAGAGCTGGTGCCTGGCGCGGGCGGGCGCTGGTGACAGGTGCGTCGCCGCAGCCGCCGCTGACGTCGTCGTCGTCGTCGTCGTCGTCGTCGTCCGTAGCCGTTTTGGCCCCAGCCATTTCGGCTCGAGTTCCTGCTCGAGGGCCTGGCTGGCTGCCCGAGAGGGGACCAGCGCCTATCGGGCCGGGCGAAAAGGGGGGGATTGGGAAAGGGGGGGGGTACGAAATCTGCTGCATGTAGCTGGTTTCGGCCTCACCGAGGGCCCCATTCCTCGATACATAGCCGCCTCTGGCGCCGGGAGGCGCCGGGAAAATCAGCTACGTGAGCTGATTCTCAAACCCCCCCTTTGCTATCCCCCCCTTTCGCCCGACCCGAGCCATGCGGCGGCGTGCATGCCCACACCAGGCTGGTGGCAGGACGACGCGCAGCAGGAGGACGGGGACGAGGAGGCCGACTGCCTGGAGGAGGAGACCGAGGAGCAGTAGGGCGCTGAGCACGATGAGTGCGAAGGCTTGCAGGAGGTCAAGCGCAATGGGACGAGGCGGGCCCTGGCTGGGCGCTGGGAGCAGGCAGCAGCGGTCAGGCTGCAGCGCCGGTGGCGCGTGAAGCTGGCGAGGGACAAGGGTGTGGCACGCCCGTCGGGCATGCAGGCCCTGGCCGTGGAATTGGGCGCGGGCACCAGCGACGCCGAGTAGCCGGACGCGGCCGTGAGGGCCGCCGACAGGCAGGAGGCACAGGGGGCCAGGACGGCGGCGCTGACGCAGCAGCAGGGCGAGGTGAACGGCAAGGGCGACCAGAAGAAGCAGGAGAAGTAGGACCAGGAGCTGCTGGAGGCCGCCATCCGCCTGGCGGAGTCGGAGGCCAAGGTGCTTGGGCAGGCGGCATCGGGGGCTGCGGCTTCGACGGGCGAGGCGGTGGACAGCTCAAGGGCATCGGTGGCAGGGGCATCGGCGGCAGGGGCACTGGCGGTGCCCATTTGCAGCGGCGGCGACGACTCGGATGGCTCCGCGGAGGCGTTTGGGTGGATCGACGACGGGCACCAAATGGACACGTGCGCCGAACTGGCGAAGCTCCTGGGCATCCAGCTGGAGAGCTGCGCCGTGGTCTCCATGAAGGAGACGGCCATGGCCCTGCTGGAGGAGGCCGAGGGCAGCTTCCAGGGCGAGGGGTGCGAGCTGTGGCAGCTGTGCCGCGCCCTGGGGCAGGTCACTGGCGCAGCGCCCGACGGCGAGGCAGAGACCCCGCAGCAGGCGGCCCGCGGCATCGTGGAGCTCCGCGCCGTCCTCCTCCTCCTCCTCCTCCTCCTCCTCCTCCTCCTCCTCCTCCTCCTCCTCCTCCTCCTCCTCCTCCTCCTCCTCCTCCATGGGGGCGGAGAAGGAGGGCGAGGGCGGCGCCCCTGAGGGGGCCCGGCGGGCGGCGCGGGCCCCTCGCAGGCCGCGCGCGCAGGGGTGAGCTGGGAGTGGCTTCGGTGGTCTCCCGCCTCTGCGCGGGCGCGCGCCCAGCCCTGACTTCGGATCCGCCCTACTTTGGGAAAATTCGTAAGTAGGGCTTGAAATTTCCGCCTTGCTTTTCAAGCCCCGCTGATGCCAGTTTCCGCCCTACTTTTCTGTTGCTGTTTCTGTGGATTTCCGCCCTATTTTATGTTGGGTGCAGGAATTTCCGCCCTACTTGTTCGGCCCCGTATACGTGGATTTCCGACGCAACTTTAAGTTGGAAAAAAAGCCAAAGTAGGGCGGATCTGGAGTCAGGGAGGTGGGTGTCGCAGGCCGAGAGGTTGACGCCAACGCCAGGATCGGCAGTGTGCCTCCACCGAGGGAAGACGATCTTGATCTCGGCGACGGTGGTAATATTCTGGCTTCCAAGGTGGCCGAGATATTACCACCAACGCCGAAATCTAGGGTCATCTTCCCCATGTGGAGGCAACCCCCTGTGCTGGTGTTGGTGCCGATTTCCAGGCCTCCAAGGGTGGGCCACGTGTCCGCCCTCGGGGACGCCGCAAACCTGCACCTGGCGGGGTAGAGGTTCACCGTCACGCGAGCGGCGCGCGCGACCTCGTGCGCGAGCGCGCGGCTCGGCTCGGGGTAACGACCTGAGCACCGCCCAAGAACGTCCAAGAACGTCGTCGTCGTCGTCGTCGTCGTCGTCGCCGCTAGGGGGGGATGGTGTACCCTCCCAATGATTTCCCGGAGGAAGGGGAGGGTTCTTGACCCCCCACCAGTTTTCCAGGGGGGAGGGGCTCGGAGAGGGGGGGAGGTCCGGAATCCCCCAATCATTTTTCTTGGGGTAGGGAGGGGGAGGGTGTTTGGGGAAGGGGAGGAGGGGCCCCTTGGTTTCTGACCCCACTACAGGGCTCTATGGGGGTGGAGAGGGCACGCCCCCCCCCACCCCCGCGATGTGACCCCTCCCCATGAGACAGGCCAGCGACGGCGGATCGCGCTCTTTCAAATCAAAGGATCGCGCGAGCGTGTCCGACGTCAGTTTCGTCGGTTCTCCGTCGTTTTCGTCGGTTGTTGGTTGTTCGATTGTTCGGGAATGCTTTTCAGCAGCTGCGCCTCGTCGAGAGCGTTCCCAGGGTGGCCTGGGTCACCCGGATCTGCCGCCTGAGGCTTGAGTTAGGGCCCGAAATCAAGACTTCCGACGTCTTGACAGTCTCCGACGTCTTGAGCACATACATTCAAAAGTTGTTCGGCGTCCTCGGTCTACGGGGGGGCCCTCACCTGGGCCCGGGCCCGTCAAGAAAAGGATGCGGGATGAGCCCTGGGGAATGGGTCCTGACTTCCGTTGATGGTGGCTATGGTGGTGATGAGGATGATGATTAGCGAAGATGATGAGGATGATGTTGGTGATCATCATGATTCGAATGTTGTTGATGATGGGGAGGGGGATGATGGGGAGGAGGATTAGGGGGATGATGATGATGATGATGATGATGATGATGATGATGATGATGATGATGATGATGATGATGATGATGATGATGATGATGCTGATGCTGATGCTGATGCTGATGCTGATGCTGATGCTGATGCTGATGCTGTGCTGATATGCTGATGCTGCTGATGATGATGATGATTGATGATGATGATGATGAGGAGGAGGAGGAGGAGGAGGGAGGAGAGGAGGGGGGAGGAGGAAGAAGAGGACGAGGAGGAGGAAGAGGAAGAGGAAGAGGAAGAGGAGGAGGAGGAGGACGACGACGAGGAGGAGGAGGAGGAGGACGCGGGACGCGGGAACGCTGAACGGCATGGGTTTCTCAGTCCCAGGACACCCGCAGCAACACCGACAACATCGGCTACGTGATCCCGGCACAGGCTGCGCGGACGCTCCTATACCCCTTCGTCTTCTGCTCCATTTCCTCCTCCCCCCTTGGAGTGTGTCCGCGCCTGCTGCTGCTCTCCTCCTCCTCCGCCTCCTCCTCGTCCTCCTCCACCTCCTCTTCCTCTCCGTCCTCCTCCTCCTCCTCCTCCTCCTCCTCCTCCGCCTCCTCCGCCTCTTCCTCCTCCTCCTCTCCCTACCTCTCCATCGCCACTGACTTCATCCCCACTCGCTCTTCACTGTCGTCATTTCCTCCTCTCCTCCCGCCCTTACCTCTCTCCTCCTCCTCCCCTGTCTCCTCCTCCTCCTCCTGCCTCCATCCCTCCTCCTCCTCCCTCTGCTTCCACCATTCGCATATCCTCCCGCCCTCCTACCTCCTCTCTCCTCCTCCTCCACTCCTCCTCCTCCTCCTTAATGCATCATCCTTTTTCTCCACCTCCTCCTTCGTTTATTCTCCTTCCCGTCCTCCTCCTCCTCCTCCTCTCCTCTCCTTCTTTTTCCTCCTTCCTCCTCCTCCTCCTCCTCCTCCTCCTCCTCCTCCGCCTCCTCCTCCTCCTCCTCTCCTTCCTCCTCACGATACCCAATGGAATGCGTCCGCGACTGTGCCTCTCCTACCTCCTCTTCCTCACTTTTCTCCTCCTCCTCCTCCCTCCTCCTCCTCCTACCTCGGTCCTCCGCTCCTTCCCCTACTTCTCCTCTCTGTCCTCCTTCCTCCCTCCCTTTTTTTCTCCTCCTACCTCGTTCTCCTCCATCCTCCCTCCTCCTCCTCCTCCTCCTCCTCCTCCTCCTCCTCCTCCTCCTCCTCCTCCTCCTCCATCCCCCACTCCTTATACGTAATTCTTCCCTGCCGCTTCCCGAAGCGTTTAGGGAGGGCGGGCCGGGCGCATCGCCTGGGCGGGTCTTTTTCAAAATGTGGTTTTCGCCTTAGCGCCGTTCACATTCGTCTTCAACCCTTGTAAGAGTTTCACGGATTGAGTGCGGTAACCTTCTCCAACTGTGGCTCTCGCCTGAGCGCCGCGCACATTCGTTTTATACATTTACAGGAATTTCACGGATGGAGGGCGGTGCCTTTTCAAAATGTGGCCCTCGCATTAGCACAGCGCACATTCGTCTTAAGAGTATACAGCAGTTTCAGGGATTCTTCTGGTTGGCGTCACATACGTAGTATTTTGGGACGATCTAGGGCTGTCATGGCGCAGCAGCTACGTGGATTTCGCGGTGTTGAAGTCCCAGGAACGGTGTTTTGGCACAGTTCAGGGTGCTCAGACGGTTGTCTTCCAACGGGGCATTTCTCTCAGTGAAAACGAATGCTTGCATAGTCCGATGAAGAGGGAACTTGGAGGGAGGGTTGATTGCAATATCGTTGATGAGTCATGGCTTTACATTAGTTCTCCTCCTCCTCCTCTTCCTTTCCCCCCCCTCCCCCTCCTCATCATACTTCTCGTCCACTTTTCTCGTTATTCTGATTCGTATTCTTATGTTTATTCTTCTTACCGTTCTAATCCTCCTCCTCTCCTCCTCTTCCGTTCGATTTCCTTACCGCGAATTCCTTTCGCCTGATGTTTCGTCAACACTTGTGATTGTGAAGCTTGCAATTTGAAACAGTTTCACGGATGGATGGCGTGCCGTTTTCAAAATGTGGTTATCGCCGCAGCGCCGCGTGCATTTGCCCCACAAGTTGCAATACTTTCAATGCTGCAAAGCGGGTGGTTTCCAAGATCTGGTTCTCGCTTTTTGCGCCGCGCACATTCGTTTTGAAAGTTGCATCCGTTTCATGGGTGGAGGGCGGTTCTTTTTCAAAATGCGGATTTCGCCTCAGCGCGCGCACGTGATTGTGGAAAGTTTGCATCATGTTCAGGGGTTTGCATGGTCGGACCCCCAGGACATGTGTTCTGGCAAGATTAAAAATTTTCAGGGCGCAACGGTCACATGGATTCGCGGTGCTGAAGTCCCAGGTCTGATGTTCTGGCCCGATTTCAAGTTGTACGGACGTAACAGTCATTCTGGCTTGCGACGCTGAAGTCTCAGGATTTATGTTACGATGTCGGAGTGCTAGGACGCAGCGGCCACGCTGATTCGCGACGTGGAAGTCCCAGGGATTGTGTTTTGGCGCGGCGGAGGACTATCAGGCGGTTATTGTCTAATGGGACATTTTCCGTGATGGGCTTGTGTTCTTGTAGTAGCTTATGAGCAGGGAGCTCGGAGAGTGGGCTTATTGCAATCTCGTTGATGCGTCTCGGGTTTATTGGTTCTCCTCCTCCTCCTCTTTTTCCCCCCATCCATCATTCCTTTTCCTTATAGATAGCCCCTCCCTGTCGCACCCGGAGGCCAGATTTTAGGGTGGGCAAGGCGTTTCGCCTGCGGTTTCCTCACCACTTATGCTCCTGAAACTTAGACATGGACAACAACTTCACAGATGGAGGGCGGGTGGTTTTCGAAATGTGGCTCTCGCTTTAGCGCCGCGCACATTCGTTTTAAAAAGCTGCTAGAGCTTTACTGATTGAAGGCGGGTCGTTTTCAATTTGTGGTTCTCGCCTTAGCGTCGCGAGCATTCTTTATAAACGTTGACAGGAGTTTCACGGATTGAAGGCGGCACATTGTGACTCTCGCTTTAACGCCGCGTGCATTCGTTTTGAGAAGTGCAAGAGTTTCACGGATTGAGGGCGGCTCCTCTTCAGCATGTGGTTTTCGTTTTAGCGCCGCGCGCATTCGTTATTCAACTCTGCCAGCGTTCCACGGACTCCCATGATCAGCGTACCAGAAGTGTTGTGGAGCGACTCAGGATTGTGATGGCGCAACAGTTACGCTGATTCGCAGTGTTGGATCCCAGGAATGGTACCCTGGCACGATTCAGCATCGTCAGAACGCAACAGCAAGGTTGATGCGTGGCGTTGGATTCTCCCGAGGGCAATGTTTTGGCATGCTTCAGGGTCTTTAACCCGTTGTCTTCCAACGAGGCAGATCTTTCAGTGGAAGCGACCCGTTGTAGGGGCCTGTGGAGAGGGAGTTTGGAGGGAGGGTTGATGCCCACATCGCTGACGCCTCTTAGGTTGACACTGGTTCTCCTCCTCCTCTTCTTCCTCCT